AACCGCAGTGGCATCTCAAAAACATGTTAACATGTTACGCACACTGCCACACATGCCGGGAGACCGGTCGGGAGCTTAGATCTTGTCCCGGCTGAGGTTGTGCCCCGCTGTTGGCTGATACCTTGTTGGAGAAACCCTCGCTAGCCGACGGATCTCGCCATCGAGCGGGGGAAGTTCACCGCCATGTCACGAGGAAACACATACCCTACAATTACGGGACCAATGACATTTACGTGCCTGCAATGACTATCAATCAATGAATCACTCGCTCATTAATCCTATAATGCAAGTCACGCAATACGGTACAGTTAGTAGCTTTTTAAGACGATTTAAATTAATATAACTTTTCAGGGCCTATTGGCCGAACAGAAGTGTCCATCACCCGGTCATGGACAGTCCAACATCCGAAAACGGGGAAGAGATGCGAGTCACGCAGCACAGCCAGCTCCCACAACGCTGGCTCCGAGAGCGATTATAATGACTACACGTTTTTAATTACGATCATTTCTATTATAGTACAGGAAATCTCTTTCAACTTCCGCCTCGCCAGGGCTACTGGCGGGGGGAGAGTTTATTTTCTCGATGGGGTACAACATACGCCGCAGCTCTATGGCAGGAAATGTAATGCCAAGCACCTCAGCATTTGCACTCCTGTTCCCATCAGAACAGCACGCGGAGGACGCGAGGTATTTCTTCAGCCAATTGTAGCCTTTCGCCACCCCCGCCATTCCCCGACCACTGAACCGTTCTGCACATGCGTAGAATATCTCAAAGCATCATCAGCAGTCCATGGCGTACCAATGTAACTGCAAATTTCGTACATACTTGTAGGGAGTAAAGCTGAACGTATTTATAGTTCATTTGTGTTGATCTGTCGCAACAGAATAAACAATATTAAGAATATATATATAGACATTCGTTACTGGGAATATTCGCCACTGAATATATGTTTGCGTGTGAATTAAGTTATCAATTAGAAGCAAGTGAACATGCTATAAACACAGAATTTTAAAGAAGCCTCGTTTACGTTCATCATGTTTTAACATAACTCACCATAGTCAACAATTTAATGAAAGAACGAGTACACAAGTATAATATGTTTAGAAGTGATCTTTACTTGCGTTCAAGCTACATAAGTTTCCGAAACGACTAAAGTAATAGGGAATTGCACACCTTCAGCACGATGCATGTAGTGCATGTATTATCTGTGGATGGCAAGTAGTGCTCCTGCCTGTCACCTCTGAGACTGCAATCTTGAATAGCTGAAGACGCTGCCTGAGATTTGCTGCTGGTCCCCCGCCTCCGCTTCGTTCAGCCTATGCGCCACGTGCGTTGCCAACCCGCGCTGATATTAAAACGCAGGCGGTCCCTGCTGACCAGGGGTTCCTTCCGCGGCCGAAACCTCACTCCGTAAGCATGCACACTCCAAGCGGAGCGACGAGGTGCGTGGTCCGCGCAGATGCCCCATGGCGGCGCACTGGCTGGACGCGGCGTCAGGTGCCCGAGATTATTATCCAAGAGCCTTGCTTCGCTGTCAAGTCATTTTGTACTAATTCACGTATGCTGCGAATAAGCTTTGTGTTGTGTAATGTTACTTGGTTTCTGAGGACATAACAACGTTGTCCGTGACTGCACTTGCAAGGGTACTTCTTCCTTTGTCATAAGGCGTGTGGAAGCGCGTGCGTGAGACAGTGGCGGCGGAGGGTCCAATGACAGGGAGCACCATTCATCAGTCTTCATAATGGAATAGCGCTTAGCGCAGCGTTCAATTTCCGGTGGGCGCCGGCCTCCAAAGGAGCAAAGGCTGCGCCGCGCGCGCGCCCTCGACGCGCAGCCCGCCATGCAACTGTTTGTGCGAGGGCAGCACGCGGTCGTAAATTGCTCTCTGCACTTATCGACACAAATGCTTCTGTTTATGTCTCGCACTGTTAATGTTTACAAATAAAGATGTGAAATGTTTATAGTGATTAGTCCGATGAAAGAAAAGCGCAGACAAATTACATGAGGGGGCTTGAACAATAGAGGTATTGAAGTTAGGGTTGTCTAATAAAGAAAATTGTTTGTGATGATGCAGTATATTTAGAATGTACTCATTCATTGCAACAGTTCTACATTTCACTGCATAATTAACTCTGCGAAATCATATCAACGTAGCAAAATAAAGGAAACAACAAAAGATATGTAGCATAGGCTAATTATACATGCTTTCGAGTATAAATTAAATAAAATAGCAAATGAACGTTCAGAAACAATGGCACTACACCAAAGAGTGAAATAGTGAATTCACAATTGAGAATATCGTTTGGTTACGGTCCTGAAGGTGTGATTATTTAGAGATATAATAAAGGTATTAGGCAGGAATCATTGTTTTATGTAGTAATGAAGTGTCAAAGAAGAAAGGTTAATCCAGAAATTGCAAGGGCTATTAATATGTGTAAGGACTTACTTGAAACAAGCATTAAATCATTTCAGTTGGAGATGTCGTATCGTTTTTTCCCTTTATAACATGTCTTAGATGAATTCCGTTATCGAAAATGATTGTCTAGCTACAATCAGCGAAGTGCAACAGTAAATTGGATGCGGAGAAAAAACAATAGAAAATGATAATGAGTACTGGAATAGTAAAACGGGAATATATTATTAGGTTACAAGAAGTAAAAATTTAAAAAAAATTGTTTTTTTAGTTACGATACCACAAAATCAGAGTACAGTCCTTGGTATCACATAGTTTATACATACATGCAGAACATGTTTTCTCTCCCAAATTTTATGAAGAGATTTTATTCTTTAAAATTCTGACTTTATTCCTTCAATATATATTTTCTTTGAAGAACCAATTGTCGTGGTTTGAAGCTGTACATGTACATTTAGGCGAAGGAGATAGAGAAGATTAGATTAACTAATCGTTAATTAAAATTTATTCACTCTTTGGCGGGCTATGACGAACGCGATGCATGCAGAGATTTGACGTCAAATCTATTTTTTGTTTTTGATATAATTTGTCAAAGAGCAAAGACTTGCCAGCCCTGCTCGGACGGGAGGATGATAACGGGGCGGAGAATACCGTGAAGAGAGATCTCAGCACGAAGAAGCTACCCCATCAAGCACTTGAGCGGCCGGGAGGCCATAACCAGATGCAGTTGCCTGCACGCTCCGTTGGAAGAGTGGATATACCATTACACTCTCCTACTCCATGCGTGAAGACAGGCAGTGAATCCAGTCACACACGATAGATGCTGGAATGAGGCATAAGAAAGTTCATTAAGCCAGGCCTCAGAAGGACAAGCTACTTTGTTGCTGAAAGACAAAATGATACTTTACTACATCTTTAGCCACCGCGTAAAATTATTTACGCTATTACATCATTCCCGAGAAACGCGCATTCAAAACATTTACTGAAATTGTATAGGTTACAGTTTCATTGATTTCTAGAAATGAATGAATGAAATACCTTCATTTTATCCACCGAGATATAACGAAGGATTTGAAACAAGTAATCCTCAATGAATATTTCAAACCTTAAACGAGGGAGTCCACATCTATAAATGACAACGGACAACCAGTCCGTTAGCCACATCTATAAATTTCTCATTGTCTTTTGTTACATACGACATAAAAATCTAAATACATGAAACGAAGACGAGATCATAGACTCGAATCGACGCTAATGTTTGATTTTGCGTTGAATAAAATATACACAAATTTTGAACGAATGTGTGTTTCAAATATTTTTTACCGAATACATTTACGCTGGAAATTTCAACGAAACAATGATATTTTTCACTTTTCACCAACACTAAATTTTCTCTTCACTGAGATATCGGTTTGGAATTAAGCAGTATGGAGGTATGCAGGCGAAAATGTAAGGCAATCCGTGAATTGTGTCGCTAACTCGATCCGAATATACGGCATACTTTGCCAACTCGAGACTTCCGCCGCAATGCACCACGCGACGCAACTTAGATATTGCTGTGTTATACAAAAAAAAAAAAAAGAAGGCTACGTGTATACTGAATTACTTAATGCGAAAAAAATACACGAACATCTTCTCCTCAATTAAATGAAGAAATGTTTCTCGTATACACGTGAGCTTCCGCGGCTGAAGTTCATAACTTCCTGGCTGTCCGGGTGTCGGCGTCTCCCGGACAGCCATGACGTCAGGTGTATCTCGTGCCATTTTAGTGAGAAATGCTTCGTTACTGCTCAGAAGTTTCTTGACGATTTTTTCTTGTATAACATTCAGAAGCTTGTCCTTAAATGTAAGTGTGTGTCGGACATTTATAACTTCTACTGCACAGAAAAGATACACTTTTTGGAATATAAGGAAGAGTAACATGTGTGCGATGCATGTCCCGAACGAGCATAGCCCGCCAGAACCTTATTCCGCCAGCCGGCCGTCAGAATTGCAGACTGGCTGTGCAAATGAACGAAATGTTCTCCCGAGTTTACAACAGCGCTTAGAATGTAATGTTCTGATGGCTTAAAGGGGACAAAATTACAAACATGGGAAAATTACAACAACAACAACAACAACAACAACAACAAAACATTTCGACGGGAACATAGCAATATGAAGAAGAGGAGGAGAAGAAGAACGAAGGGAGGAGCTGGAGGACAAGAAGAACGAGGGGGAAGAGGAGGAGTGGGCGCCTTGGGAGAGGCGTGCCCCCGTGCTCAGTGGAATGCGCTTCACTTGACTCGCGCAGTGAGCGCGGCGAGCCACAAGGGCGCAGCTGTGCGCGCGCCATCGGCCCCGTCTGGCCCCGTCTGGCCCCGCACCGCACCGCACCGCACCGCCGAGCCCTCGCTTCCAACACGCGTGCGCTCTAGCTGCTTGAAGTTCGCTCAGGGCCTCATCCTAACTCTTCAGCCCAAGTTATTCCTTACTTGGTGATTTTATCACATACTCTCTCTCTCTCTCTCTCTCTCTCTCTCTCTCTCTCTGTGTCTCTCTCTGTCTCTGTCATCTGCGGGGCGTCGCCGGATGCCGCTGCCAGCCAACGCAAACGTCGCGCCGTGCGCCTTGGCCCGGCGCCAGCGCTTCGACGCCACGCTCAGGGGCAGGTGCGCCGTCCTGCGCCGCCGATGACCTCTCGTGAATAACCGTCTTCACATACAGGAGGACCATGCCGAAGACAAAATCCACCGTATTCCCAATTAGCGGATTTTATGCTAACGGCCTTGACGCTCGAGTACAATTCTTGGGAATGAGGCCCGCCCCCGTTCAAGTGCTTCATGTACACGTCTCTCAGACATGCTCCTGCGGCACCCCTTACGAACTGGGAATGTAAACATACTGTTGAATAAAGGAAAGCAATTATTTCGCAACGGATACATTCCCTAAGTGGGTCACACACCTCTGACCCCACATCTCACGCAAGCTATCGCCATCATTTGGGAACCACAACCGTTCGGGTGGCCTTGTGAATCTTTCTTTGTAACACGTCCGATGTCTCCTTCCGCATTATTTTGTCCCAATCCCGGTCCGCCCAGTCGATTCCCGACCAGTTGTGTAAATTATATCGGCGATCCCAAATCGATTCTTGGCTTGCCCTGCCAGTTCCTGTTCCGCCCAATCAGATCAAATAGTTCCCAGCCCGCTCAGTCACTTTTCCGCTCGACTAGTCCGTTTCCAGCAAGCCCCACTGTATCTCAATCTACCCTCCGTAGATGTCGGTGCCCCCTTGACGGGATGCTCCGAAGCTTTGCCGCTTCGATCTGATCCATTTTCCTCCGCAGATCACCCCAACCTTGTATGGTTTCGAACCTCCCAATCCGGTCCCACCCCACCCCACCCAGCCAATGTCCAGATCGGTCCCCCTCGACAGTTACCGCCCCTTAGCAACGCAGTGGTTCCCCTTCCACTGTTCCCAGCCCGCCGTTTAATTCTTGGTCCGATAGTTCATGGTTCAGTAGATCTCGCCAGTCCCGACATCTATCGGTTCTTGCTCCCTCAGTCCCCCCCCCCAGTTCCCACTCCTTACGTCGCCTGGTTTTTAGTCGTTGTGCAAAAGTTGCTTGTTATATTCCGCCCCCACTGCAATGCGGCCCCCTCACAGCAACAGACTACCCAGAATGCAATTAGTATAGTGGTAGCCGACTTAGCTTACGAAATGACTTTCTCGGACGAAGAAAACGAGATGAATTAACAATGATCAGCGATAGAATTTACATGGGATATCATGTACCTAAATATGAACAATAAATACGACTAAAATGCACTAATATATGGACTAAAACACAGCCAAATGGATTATTTTTAGTATCTAATTTCTACGCTTAACTGAAGGGGAAACTAGGAGAATTGAGTTGGAAAAGGTAATTGCGTTTATTTAAATTGAGTGAGCTTCAATACAATTGAGTAATATTTACTATCTGCAATGTTATATATTAATGTTACGTAATCGTCGTATTATATTCTAGATAATTCGCCAAAATCGCAATTCGTTATTTCTATGCTCTATATAATTTTAGATCAAAACTTGTTTTTAAATACATTGTTCTAGCAATATTGTACTATAACTGTACCAATAACTATTTTTCAACAACGTATGAGATGTTATCTTTAAGTAATACGTGTTGGTCTTCGGAAGTAAAAAATGTGTACTAGCGTCCTCCAGGCAGTGGATTTATTAAAAGAAGGTAATTGTACAAAAACTCAAATATTTGTGGGACTTGGACTTCCAAGTTTAGCTCCGCCCGAAAGAGAGACCCGCGTAAATGTTCCTATCCACATTCATACAGTTTTACGGTTTGTGTGTAGGTAGCGCAGCGGGCCCCGGGACAGCCGGCGCTGCCCATTCACGAGCAGACGGGGTTCCCTCGCACCGCGCCGAGTCTGCCGCCGCCGGAGAACGGGGCGCTGTTCTTGAGCTTCGTTAGGCCTTTCGCAGTGAGTAATTTAATTCATTACCAGGGCTAGCGAGATTATAGTGATGCAGATAAACATGTCTTTCTGGGTTCACGACAATTCTTGTATTTTTTGGTTTGTAGAAAAGAACAATATCATGCTATTTACATACTTTGCATATAATTTATGTTCCAATACAAGTTCATATTACCATTGCTCACTTCGTAGTGCACTGCAAAGAACTGTAATTTGATTACTTTGGAAGTTTAGAGTGACTTTATAAGCGCAAAAATGAATGACAGCCCTGCCCAAAACAATGCTCCAGCTCTGTCCTGGGTTCACACTTAGCACAGCGGAGCGAAGTCTTGGAAAGCTTTTTAGTTGTCGGTGCGGAGAGGGGTGCGACCCTTTGTGTAATGAAACGCGCTTGTCTCAATCTCTTTTCTTGCAAGCAATTTCCAGTAATACGTCTTGTTTTCGTATTACTAGTTACCGTATAATGTAAAAGAAATAATATTTTGAGTTGTTAAATATGTTTCTCCTTTTCTTGTGGTTTCATTTGCAAAATTTTCAGTGTAATATAATTTTGTTGCGGAACACACATCGAGTGCTCCTTGAATGCCTCCACAAGTGAAGCTTTTGAGGGCCCGGCTGTCTGAAGAGGAGGAGGAGGAGGAGTGCGGTTAGGGAAGGGGGCAGCAGTGGCCCGGGTGATGCCCTGAAGCAGCTAGTTGCACGGGACGGAAAACTACTTTTCGTCGGGAAAGTCGGAATATTTTTAGCAATTTTCTGTTAACAATAAGAATGGAATTAAATGTATTCTCTTTCTTCCTTTCAAGAATTAGGTAATAGTGCCTGTTCCGTCTTCACTTGCACTTAAAAGATATCTCTTCTTGACATTTTGTGTCCTTTCGGAATATCATCACTAGTTGTAGAATTCTTTCTTCATCCATTCTTTCAACATGGTGCTTCCATAATTCTCCGTATTCTTCTGTTTATTTATATTCTGTGTATCCAGTTCTTTTCGGATATCTTCGTTTTTTATGTGATCTTGTTTTAAGTAAACTTAAATTCTAAGAAATCTCATTTATGTTGCTAGAATTTCGCTTTGATCTCTCATTTCGTCATCTATGATTCACTTGCATACATGGTAATTGGAGTAGTCATAATCTTATAAAAGTTCATTTCTATGTCTTTTCTTGATTTATTCTGAAACTTATTCTACATACTAATTGAAATTTATTCGTTTTATTTTCTATGTCTTTGTCCAAGTCATAACTTATATCACATCCAAGATGATTAAAATTAGAAATTTGATCAATCACTGTGACGTCAATTACTATTTTTGAGCGAAAGAGGTATTTGCCACAAAGACCCATAACTTTAATCTACTTTGAATTGAAAGTATATTGCTTAATACCATTCAAATAGCTTCGAGATTTGTGATGTTAATTACATACAATTACATACAGTAGTCGAAACTGGCACGAAGAAAAAATAGTCTTCCAATCAATTATTCCTATATAAGACTAAGATTTTTTTAAATTACATAATTCTTCCCCTTTCCCTGTTCCAAGGAATTACCAACTGGACGGACATGATCAATGTCGCCATCAGAGCAGCAATCTCTCGGCTCGGGCGCTCTAAACGCCGCCGCATAAAATGTGATTAAAGGCAACGAGCAAACGTGGCAACTGCTGAATTCCGGCTGCAAACATCGCAATGGGTTTGCTGAGCCCAACCCAAGGGCGCGGTGCACAGGCTGCATCAACCGGCTGTGGCCCTCGCCCGCTGGCTTTGCGAAAGGCATCCGCCGCCGGAAAGCGAAGGCTCTTCGCCAGCGCACTCGGGGGGCGTTTGTGTGAGTCACGGCGGCGCTGGCCGACCGCTCTTCCCGTGCGCCCCAGGCGACCTCCCCGTCCCGCCCCGCCCCGCCCCACCACTCAGCACGGGGGCACGCGGCGCGGCCCACTGCTTTTAGACGCGGAAAACTTCTTACGCACCAATTTGCCTGTCGGCGGAGGTTGTTGAGAAGATTATTGTGCGTCAACATAAACCAAGCTTTCTATCATGCACTAACATTATTTACATGTTTTATTTGTGAGATATTAGATCAATTTCACACATAATACTAATATTGTAATTAATTGCGCATTTTTTCAATAAAAATTTGGAATAAACATAATAAAAATATAGAATCATGACGCAGGGCACACAATCACGTGAAATAAAAAATGGTTTCAAGAACTAGTTTAAAAAGTTGTTTTAGAAATTAATGTTTCTGTAGATACTCAAGAACAATCGATTTGGTGAATAAGAAGCTAATTGTTACGTATGAATATGAATGAAACGATTGTTTATTGATATTTAGAACAACTTATAAAAGCAATACACATTTTTCCCGTCCCCTGCTCCCCTTCCCTCTGTCGCCTCCCGGCTTGCTACCTACTGAGGTGGCTCAGGGCATCAATGCAGGACGCCTGAAGGACAGTATTGCGTAGTTTCTGCGATGAATGCGTGGCGGACGCGGGAACTGTACCCTTCGAATGGAACCGCGCGCGATCTTACGTTTCTCCTGCTTGCCCCTCCCCATCCCGGCACTTACAAGCACCTCTACCACTCATGTCTAGAGGCCAGTCGGGAGCTTCGAACGTACCTGAATGCGAAAATCCCCCCTAGCGGTCGCTTGTTAGGGGGCGAGCGATGGGCTGCAGGTGGAGTGACGCGGGTGGGGAGGAAGGATGTTAGGACCAGGGCTTGTGCAGCACGGGAGGGAAAATTGAATGTTGACGGTTGGGTACGCTTTCGAAAAAGACGATCTATTTTTGTTTTCTGATGATCTTGAAATCTTAGTAATTGCTGAACATTGTTTACCGACTACTAGAAATTCACATAAAATTAATTATATTTTTGAAGAGGGCTTTAATGAACACAAAAATAATAACTAAAGTATAATAAAGAATGTTGAAATTGTAATTTGTCAACAAATTTAATCAATGCAGGTAATATTTCCAACTATCTGAATGGAAAAAAACTACTAAAGTTTTTATTTAATTCACATTACTAAATGAAAATCAATTTTTTACACATTGATTTATTTCTTAAACGATCGTATATTTACACTGTAAAAATCATGCATTTACAATGTTGAGTGCATTTCTGCTGTAGTGGATGGTACAGTATTTGACTTATTGCCTCCAGCATCCAAAGAATCAATTTTCTGAAAGGCAACGCAATCTCCAAATTTTTAATAAAGCTGAATCATTTCCTGGCGCACTCGGTCTCTTGTGCCTGACTATAGTCGGAAGGATACGAGCAAATTGTAGGAATGTTTACAGTTTAAGGCTAAAAGAGTACAATGGAGTATAGTGAACTCATAACAAACAAAACTAGAATTACTTTTTAGAGTAAAGAAGGTATATGATTAGTTTTAGTGACGTAATTATTATGTCGATATAATTATTCCAAGTTATCAAAGATATGAATATTTTTCCCGGCTACTAAACAATATTCCTGAAACACACTTAAATTATCCCTTAAGGTGAGACCGTAAGACCGGTCATTCTTATGTAAATCTAATTTTCTCTTTGTTTGTTAAATGAATGAAAAAAAAGTTTTGCTGTATAATAGTTTGCCCTACAGATGTCATCATGTACATGCTTATTGAAATGTGTACATGCTTATTGAAAGCAGTTATATTTTGTATAAATTTAGTATCTTTTTGCTTAATGTTCAACGAAGAGAAGATTATAATTGAAAAAACCTGCAATGTAAAATGTTCTAATTGTTGATCCACATCGAGAAATTTAAATGTGTGGAAATGTTACTTACAATTAGCAAATGTTAAATGAGTATAAAGATGGCAGGGAGTTGCAAAATAAGGACCTTAGGTATCTATGGACCAAATCGAACATCAAAATTTGCCCGCCCCTGCGCGAGGCAATGACAAACGACTCCTCGAACTCGTATAGAAGTATTTGATATTCTCGAATTTATTTTCTGGCTCGTCTTCGTCGCACGTATAACTAACGTTCACTACTCCCGAAAGGTGTCCAACAGATTCGTTGGCATGAGGTCATGTTGTAACTTTGCAAGATTTAATTGAAATAACATGGATCAGGTTCTTCCCTTCTACCGCTTGTATTGGGAGTCGTCTGTAAGACTACTACTAAGAACACAGAGTTAAACATGATTTTCTCAATGCCGTTTAAATCTTCATTTACCAAGCCATGTTTGTGCATGTTGTAGTAGTCTTTATCAGGACATCCTACATCAATCTTAAAGATGTGATAAGTAATTATAAATAATGGATTGATTTTCATTTTTATTTTCTTTTGAAAAGGAAGAATGTGTCAGACGAGATTGCTCGCATTATGTTTATAAACACTCTCTGACCTTCGCATTTCAAATTATTTTTTGATCTTCGAACTCAAAAATCTAGTAATTTTCGATTCGCCAAGTGAACCCTTTCATTCTTAAGCTTGTTCTCGCCAGACGACTTCCTTCTGCTGCTGCTTCGTTCGAGAGATCGATTGCAACTCACACTTCAGTAGGAAGCAACACCAAGAATAGAAATTGTATCTTTAACGTAATATTGTCAATAATCTTACTTCATATCCCTGTGAGGTGCAAATCTTCATTGATATCAATTTGCAATGTTAAAAAACTTGAAAGACAGGCAGAAATAAATAATCGAACAAGCAAATATAAATCGAAAACAATTGAAGTTGATCTTGAAAGAGGTAATGAACAAATAACGGTATAAGAAACCTCATTCTATTAATTTTTAATGAAAGTGAAAACACATCTGGAGTCCACTAACTTTGATTTAAAGAAAAAATCACGAAATTTCGTTCTAAGAAATCTCAAAGATTTATAAACGACAACCTCTTTTATCTTATTCATTTGTACAGAATAAAATTATGATGGGAAGTTATTTTATTTTGTCATTCAGTCATTCAGAGAATTAATCAGCCTATTCTATCATTTAAATTACACATCAATTATTCAGTAT